GACTATTTTTCATCAATCTTGCTTATGCTCCAACTGCTTTTCTTCTTTAGGAGTTTTTTTTTAGTGGACTATTTTTGTACATGAACTAAACACAGGAAGAGCTAGAGGAGCTTCAAGGAGAACTCAGGAATTGCTAGAGGCAGAGATTTCAAAGGTGCTGCTGAAAAGAGCCCAAAGCTTTAGCAGAGATGAAAAAAAAATCAATGGATTCTTTATATTTCATTATCAGTTCTGCACTCATACTGGATGACTACAAACCCGTTCATGTTCAGTGGAAAGTTAATTAAACTTTATATTCAGGAAGGAAAACAATGAAAGAAGTTGAAAGGGCCCCAAAGCATATAACACTAGCAAGATCATACATGAAAAAGAGCACAATAAAAACCTAAAGTGGGAAGTGACATCTATTTCTTCCTCCCTCACCTCATCTCCTCCCAGTGCTTCCTCCTCTTTCTTACCTCTTTCCACTGCCCCTCTCAGCTCCTTGCAACTCCATGAACACCCTAAGAAGCTGCTGCTGTTGAACTTGCCACTTTGATCAGAGCACTCTCATCCCCAGATGTCTCTGCCAACTAGCTCACTGTCTTCAGTATAGACACCTAGGGAGTAAGACATCCCTGGGCACCATCCTGTCTAATAATATGCCTCTCCAACCATCTGGCCTGGATTTCTTTCTTTGAAGCACTTGATATCTTCTGCTGTGCTTTGTATTTTTACTTGTGAATGTTGATTATTTGTTGTCTGTTTCTCTCACTGAAATTAAAATTCCAAGAGTGATTTTTTTTTTGCTTTCTTTCTTTGGCTCATGTTTTATCTTCAGTGCCTGGAACACTGATTGGTGCTCAATATGTATTTGTGTTGAATGACTAGATTGGGGTTACTGAGTTAAAATGTGGGGAAGATATGACACGAGTGTCATCATCTGATTACTGATTCTTCTTTATAGGGACCTAAAGGTATTTTGTCTAAGATACATAATGATATTCCAGGATAAGGTCAATATACTTTTAGTATATATTTGGTTTGTAACATGTAGGGGATGTCTAACATGTGATCACTGATAGGGCATATTATATGTGTTGAAATAAATGTTGTTGTCAGTAACTTAAGAGTTGTGTGAGATTAGGAAGCAGGAACCAAGGGAGACAGCGTTACTATGATATATTTCCACTTTACCCGTGGTTAGTTTGTACCTCTCTATGAGGCCATCCAGGCAAATCTTTCTGTTTAAGACTCCTTTCAGTAAGGTGCACTTTTAGGCAGAGATTTCTCCTTTACTGAAAAATAGAATCAATAAAATATTAGTGAGATGTTCATTGAAAACAAATAAGTCAACCAAAAGAGTTCATGCATATATTTGGGTAAAGATATATTTTTTCTTTCATAGTAGCTGTTTCTCAATAATTATCACTTTTTTCTCTTTACCTTATGATATAGTTACATGGAAAATATAATAAAAAGTTAATTTTTTTTTAGTGCTGGGGATTGAACAAAGGGCATCCCAGGGCCTCCCACCTCTTAAATATGCCTTCAGTTACTGAGCTACACCTTCAACCCTCACTCCCTTTTTGGAACTAAACACAATTTTAATGAGTGCTGTAAGTGTGCAGGGGGCCAGATAAAACCTTTGAATCCTACATTTCAATCTTGAATATTTTGATAAGATGTCTGTATCATTTTACAATATAAAATAAAATATATCAAGTGACTAGAGATTACTGAATTGCAATAACAACCATTTTCAAATCCTATTTCATAGTCTTCTGAAATCAACCCTATCCTCTCAATGCATTTGGAGTTTTCCTGTTTTAGAACAAAGAAATACTTTGGACTTTCCCCCAAACACTTGCTGGCTTTGTATTCTAATAAAGTATATATATATTCCCATTTGTTCAAAGAGATTGCACTGCTAAAATTTATAGTTTAAATCGAGATAGACCTTTTAAATTTGTAAATTTTACAAATGTCAGTTTTGTAGTAAGACACAATTGAATTTTTCAATTTGATTATATGTAAGGAACCCCAAATGTTTATTTATAATAAAAACATTTTAAAATTGATCAAACTGTATCACCCAATTCTAGTAAATTAGAGACTAATTTTGTCCTCAAAGATAAAATAAAATATGTCCCTGAAATACATGGGAAAATAGGAAGAGAAATAATAGACAAAATTAAATTACTAATTCCAATACTTAGTTCTTGTGCTAGTTCTGTATTTCTGACAATTGTGATGAAATTCAAAGGTAAACATATACTGAGAGACAATGAACTTTCCTTTGAATGAAGCATGCAATTGCTATCATTTCTAAGCTGAACATTTAAGCTAGATGAAAGAGCTCATGTAATTGCTTTTATGTACACTGGCAACATGACTGCTAAGACTGTTCTATCATGTAGTACCTAGTGGTATTAATGATGTTAAGGGTGGAGAAATAATTCACTTTGATTATTAAACAAATAGCTTCCAATTTCAACTTGTTATTTTTTAAAAATCCCTTGCCTGTTTCTGGATTTTGCCTTAATATCAATTTTAACAGAATCATCTACTACAGGGCTTCTTTTTTCAGGGATAGCACCCAGGAATAGGTTAACTAATGCTTTTTTGGAAAGGTTATTTCTAGAAAGATTGTTAATTCTTCGGCACTTTTGTCCAACTTAAAACTCATAAATTTAATTGCTTAATTGGCCTAATGAAATAGTACTCAATAAGTATTGAGAGCTTACTGATTCAGTAGGAATCCTTAACAATAAGTATATTGCTGTTATCTAAAAGCAGACAGCATTGCTGTGGATCCAAAGACATTTCTCATTCTCAGATGTTTTTGAAATGAAATAGAACTGGTTTCCAGTGAACATAGATATAAACCAGGGCTAATGATATTTGTAGAAAAAAGTGCCCATAAAACTGTGAGAAAAATAAAATTTCCTTTGGTTAAAAACAGAAATCTCTTTAAGAAAAACTTTCTAGTCAAGCCAAACTTACCTGACTTATGTGGTGGTCATTTTCAAGGCCCATGTTCTTTTTAAAAAATTTTGTTTTAACTTTTTTTTCCCCCTTATACAAATGGCAACTAGGTTATTTGGAGGCTAAGTATTTATTTTTGAAAAGAGATAAAGGAAAGAACAGCTTAGGAGCTGGAGTGGTTTTTCTCTTTCTTTTTCTATCTAAATATTTATGCAGTTGATCTTCTTGCTGCCAGGCACATGGTATTGGATATCAGCGTACTAGCAAGGAAAATATCAAGATTGCACACTTCTTTCTGCATGTCATACTTTTATAGGATGGTCACTCTGGAAATAATCATTGAYAATTATTGCTTTTCATTACACAGTGTGACAGAGACCCTTGGACTATTATCTTTCCATGGCGTTTTCATTACAAAGCCCATCAAAATAAGTTTTATTGTCTCAAGTATCCCATGTGTTATCCAGAATCACTGTTCAAAGCTGATATTATAAACTACTTCATACRTTTATGTTTTGATCTGTCAAATGAAACTAATATATTACTGTCCAAAGTCTGAGGATGTGGTAAAATAATACCTATGGAGTCCCTAAAAGAAACTAACCATTGTATGATACTGCCTTTAATTAGGGCTCCAGGCCATTCTTTGCCATTAACCAGTACATTTTTTTGTAGGCTTTCTTTATTTCGACATTTCTTCTGAATACATTRATGTTTTTGGAAATTCCTTGTTAGGTCCCCTGCAGTGGTATGCTGCAAAGTGATCTTGGCTAACACAGAGAAAAGGATGGCTTACATTATGCATTTTGCATTTCAGTCTATAATTTTAGAATCCAAATACTACTTCATTTAAGAGGGGAGTAAAAAGAGGGTGGAGCTAAACACTAAAAGAAATCAGGAATCTGTGTCCCATTACTAAAACCCTGCCACTATAATATTTCATCTGAGCAAGAAATGCCTTTATTAGAGTTCAGTGTCTGTAGAATAAGCAGAGTTAACAACCAAGGTGTCAAATATAAATTTATTATAAAATTGTCTGTGTGAATTTCTGTACTGGATAATCACACCCCCCCCATTAGTTATGCTTCAGAGACCTATTAGTTTCTCATTAAACTGAAGGACTGAAAATGCACATTGAAGAAATCAAACTGACACAGAAAACCAATACATTCTTTAAGAGCTTTTCTYTGGTTGTATGCATGCTTGTAAAATGTGAGTAGTTTTAGAAAAGAAGTAACATCTTCTGAAGGTGTGTTTGAGTTCATACTATTTAATATCTGTGGATAAAAAGTATTAAAAGACCATGAGCATAAGGAAAGTGATTTAAGTTTTGTTTGATTCTAATTTATTGTGGAGATCATAACAATTCCAGTGTTTTCCTATATAGTTTTAGAAGTTGTTCATTGTGCATGCAAAGACTACCAGGATCAGTTTCTTTAGGCAGGGAAGAAATAGAAGAGATTCACCTAGAAAAGAACTTTCAGAGTCCCAAATGTCTCCCAAACCTTCTTCAGGAGACCAGGGCTCTTCATGCTGTGCAAAAGAGCAGCCAAAGAAGTCAGCTTGTTTTCAYCCCTGTAAGTCTCTGCATAGTAGTAGATGATGAGTCTGGCTCTTGGCCAGAGACTAAGTGTGATTTTTTAGGTTTGACCATGAGAAATTACAAGAGTTTTACCTGGCAGACTTTATGGGGAAAGCACTTATCTTTCACCAGATTTGGTGAATAAACCAGAGCATTGCAGTCTATAAAGGGAGGGACAGGACCTCTGGATGGTCATGTTTTTATGCTTATCTGCATTCTTAGCCCAGACGCTCTCTTATGGTTTGGATATAAGATGTCCCTTCAAAGCTCCTGTTAATGCAGAAGTGTTCAGGGGTGAAATGGTTTAATTGTGAGAGCTGTAACCTAAATAGTCTATTCTAGTTGCAAAGAAGTAACAGAGTGGTAATTGTAGGCAGGTGGGGCAAGGCTGAAGGAGGTTGGTCACAGGATGTATTCCCTGAAACAGTTGCTCTGTCTCCCTCTCCCCCAGACTTCCTGACCCCAGCCTGAGCTAACCAGTTTTCCTCTATTGGATCCTGCCCTCATGATGTTCTGCCTCACCGTRGACCCAGAACAATGGAGTCAGCTGTCTATATAGACTTAGACCTCTGATGCTATGAGCCCCAAATAAGGTAATATTCACACCTGAGCTATCTTCCTTCATCCATCTGCCATAGCCACCTTACGTTCTATTTTTATAAGAATTTCAACTAATTTAGCTTCATTTAAACAATACCCAACACTTATTAGATGAAAAATTTGTGCTACATACTATGTTGAGGATATTGTGTTAAAAACTTTACATCTTTTACAAAATATTGGAACAAAATATAGATGAGTAATGCATAAAAGCAGATCAGTATAGTATTACATTGCAGAAGATTAGTTCTTTACAATAGCAGGGTGCTGTCTAGTAGTAGCTGAGAGAAATAGAGACAAATAGGTGGAAGACTCTTGTTATCTAGCAAAATTTAGGGAGTGTCAGGATCCTGACCAAGTAGAATGGAGGTCAGAGAATGGTACAAACATTAAGTTACTGAAATGTTTGAAAGAAAAGTAGAGTCATATAAATGGAAACTGATAAGCATCAAGAAAGGGAGGAAAGGTCTGGTGCATTAATGAAAGGTCAGCCATGCTAATTTCATAAACAGACTCTGACTCTAAAGCTTCCATCCCAATCCTGTATATATAACCAAAGGTTGGTAGGTGAGCTGGTGAGACTGCTTATTTATCTGTTGTACTGATGATAGTTGGCTTATGATCTGGAACATCAAGAGRGCTCCTAACAATTCAGACTAGTAAGTGAGAAGGAAGTTTGAGCATCCTTCATTATTACTGGATAATCTGTTGAATAGGAAAGATATAGACCTTAAATACAAGGACTTCTGTTGAGAACCAAAGCCAAARGGGCCCCAGCAAACTTCCAGCTGCCAGCAAACTTCCAGCTGCTGGCTGATGATTGGCTCACAGCGGCCCCAGCAACATCTAGCTGATTGGCTCCTCTGCGGTGATGTTCATTGGGCTGTTTCCCTGCCCTTCAGACTGCCRGCTGATGATTGGCTCACAGCGGCCCCAGCAACATCTAGCTGATTGGCTCCTCTGCGGTGATGTTCATTGGGCTGTTTCCCTGCCCTTTCAGACCACGGAGCTGCTGATTGGGGGACTTCTTTGGCTCTGCCCACGCGACCCAGCCAATCGGCCTCAAGAGCAGGAGGATTGGGGGAGGTGGTGAGGTTTGTGTGGGGAGAGAGGCTTGTGGGAAGCCGGTGGTGGCAGTTGGGCTCTGAGGATTTTTTCCTGAGGAGCTGTTTTGTTTGGCTTGTAGTTCTAAAAATAAAGTTAGTTTCTTTTGACAAGTGGCTCCTGAATTGTGCCCAACCAGACTGCAGCAGACTTCTGTTTCCAGTTTTGAGGTAGAAAATTGCAAAAGAGTATTACTCCCAATATAAGCTGAGACAATCCAATAAACTTTAATAGCAAAAAGCTAGGGAACCACCGTGAACTAGTTTATAAGAAAGGAAAAGCCCTTCCTAGCAGAGAAGAACCTATGGCTACTCTCATCCCTGGAGGAATAATAGACAATGTACTGGTTCACCATGAACTGGATGAGAAGAAACCAGTGGATTTTAATAAACATTTAACAATGTGTGAGGATTGATTTGTTGGATGATATTCCCAGGAGACCCATTCAGAGAGCAATCTCACATCTGCCCTCCATTCATTGCTCTCCTAGAATAGAGAGTCAGCATGAAGGCTTGGACCTGGAGTGAGAACTGAGAGAAGGCCCCCTGGTATGCATGCAAATTTACTGACTACAGGGCAATGGCCCAGTGACTGTTGGGGCAGGACAGAAGACTATAGAGAGAGATGTTCATGGCTTAGGACAAGAGTACAAAGGGAGCTACACACATATCTTAAAAGATGGTGGTGGGCTTAAAAATAATGGAACTGGAGCATTGCTGGTGTTTGAATCACACTTCTAATCCTGCTGGGGAAATATTTGAGGAATCAGTAACAAGAATTTAAATAAAACTGCAACAAATCCAGACACAGCTCAACTATAGATTGGATTGACTCATCCTGGATCTGGYACAACATCATTTCTCTTGCCTTCTGTTGGTCAAAGTCAGTTAATAAGGTAGTGCAGATTCCAGGGTAAAATCATCTACATAATTTGATGTGAAGTATATATGTACTGAGATGGGAGGAGTGTTGGTGACCATATTCAGAGATTAGTTAGGATATATTTATAAATAACCAAAKAATAAAYTACAGGCTTTAAAAACAGRMCAAAAGAAATTAGAAAATAYTTYGAGWTGAATGATCAAGAAAGTACAAACTATCAAAATTTATGGAAAGTAGTTAAGAAAGTTAAACAGAGACATAGAGAGAGATTTATAAGAGAAGATCACTGTAAAGGTGGGGAAGGAAAAAAGAGAGAAGAACCCTTTCGATTCTATACATCAACATAAGTTAGAAATCACTCTACTCCTCCCTCTATCCCATGTGCTTTTATACCTGAAGTCTTCTACTTTTCCCCTCCTGCAAGGGGTGCTGAGAATCTTAGCAAATCTTTTTAACAATATTTTATTGGAATCCTTAAAACTAGGTGCTTATATAAGGTAAAGAAAATATAAGGTAAATSTTTTTACTTGACATGTAAGTCTCTCAAAATTTCTAGCCAGTCTTTTGCTCAACCAGTTGACAGGTTGCTCACATAGGTTAATACAGGAAAGATGTGAGTTCCTAGAATCTGCACAACTCCAGATAGAGGACATCCTTTGTGTCAGCAAAATCCATAGCAACCAGGAAAAAAAGGCTTGCTCTTCCCTTGTCACAGCCTGATGATGAAGTAGCAGGAACTATTACCAAGCAGATCAGCCACACACACTGTCTCTAAAGGGTAGATCCTAAACCTTGGGCCAGGTTAGTGCAAGATCTCTGTGAAGGGGCATTTTGTCTGATGGGTCTTCAGAGTTCTCATGCTTTGTTCAAAGATAAGACACTAGTAAATGTCTTAAAACTCCAAATTGGGGAAATCAGACATGGAAATAATGATTATTAAGCACTTCTGATTGCCATCTTCCAGGAGCCGAGATACTAGGGATCTTGACCCAGGAGAAGATGCTGTGAAGATGGCGTTAGTGAGACACTTGTTGTTCCTGGGGGGTCATCAGCAAACCTTTGATGAATGAAAGCTCACGGAATAGGATGTCTCTTGGCTATTGTTCTGGTGGTCTGGACAATAGCCAAGAAACCCGATTCTCACAAGTAATTTCTTGTTTGATATACAATGGATAGAGAATGTTCTCAGTGTGATAATGACAGTGGGGTGATACAAGTTGGGGACTAAGCAAGTTCATCTGAGTTTTCTTTAAATCTGTGGCTCACAAATGAAAGCAATTCTGTCATTCTGAGGGATGTTTGGCAGTGTGTGGAAATATTTGACTGTCACAGCTGGGGATAGTTGAGCATTTCTAGCCTCTAGTGGGTTGAAACCAGGAATGCTGCTAAACTTCCTATACATCATAGGACTGCCCCCAAGGTATTATTTGAATCCAACTGCAACAGTGTTAAGATGGAGGAATGCTATTTTAAAAGTATATTTTTGTCATTTGTTCTTCGGGGAACAAGGATTTTTATTCAGAGAAACAACTCAAAAGCAGTGACAATATCAACAGTGGTAAAATCTTATGCAGTTTTCCACAGGGTTTATAGTTCAGAMCCTTGAACCTCAGAACAAATGGGAGAGTTTGGTGTCCTACTGATTCACCCAGAAAAAATAATTTTCTCATAGCATTAGCTATTCTTGGCCTTTTCCCTTTTTAACCTTTCAGATTATATTACTTAAGGGAAAACAAAACAAAACAAAACAACAATGATCTATGCACTCTAATGAAACTTGAGTAACAGAGATCAATGGAAAATAAACATTTGATGTTTGGAATATAAAAAAAAAATGAAAGAGTAGATAGTAAGTTCATTTCCCTTTGCAGAGCTTTATTACCTTCTACTTTTTTTCTGATTCTGACCAGAATCTATTCACATGTAACCTCAATTAGTTAAAAGATGCAGCATAAATACCTTCCAGGGGAAGSCTGATAACTGAGTTYTGGTGGGCTAATTGCATTTCATCTGCTCATTTCTGAATGTCACCACAGATTAAAGCATGTGAAAAATTAAATAATATGAGATTGCATAGATTCTGGGGTAGAAAGGTTCTTGACCCATATTAAATCCTATCTTTGCTTAATTTCAGTGGAATTTATTGATCTAGAGGAAAATGTGGACTATTGAGCATTTAAACTTGTCTTAGATAGCTAAGGAAATCAGATTGTTGGAGTTGCAGTAAAATGGTTTAGAGGGTTTGGAATGCACTCCCTTAAATTGCTGATGAGGAAGTGGAGGCTATAAGCTGGTACRTTGCTGGCCATGGGTCACAAGTTAGTTGCAGTGCTGGGACTAGAGGCCAGAACTTCTCATCTGAGCCTCATATTCTTGTAGCACAATTTCCAAACTGTAGTTCAGAATTACTTCTGGGTGGTTGGAACTGTCCAGAGTAAAGTGTACCAAGGTCTGACCATCATGTCTTGTATGTATTCTAACTACTTTCACATGTTATCTCACATCAAAAAGCATTCTTATTACATAAATAGRACTAAAGTGTTTGTCTCTATTGATCAGAGGAAATCAAAACTCAACGATATGGAGTAACCTATTTGAAGTGAAATAACTAATAAAAATAGTCGTGTTTTATTGTAGTACTATCCTTTTCTGTTCATTATAGGTTTATTACAGAGGCAAACAATTCTACATGGGTATGAAAGGAGCTTTTCTTCACAGGTTGCTTACTCTATGAATTAGCCCATTTGTTCCTTGTAGTTATTACAAGAGGTAGCTATGATTATTAATCTCATTTGCTGATAAAGAAAATGAGGTTTGGTGAAATTCAGTAATGTGCTGAAGTCTATACCACTAGTAAGTATATACCAAGATCTGTTTTATACTAAAGTCCACATTTTAATCATTACTATATAGTTTATCATTGTTCCTATGGTGTTTCTGTGGCTATTTTGGTAATTAATACAATGTTCTGATTGGAATAGCCATTGAACACCCAGTTTTGTGCTTG